TTCTTCCAGTTACTATTATATTTGCGATGTCATTAGATGCTTTCCATTATTTTGGATGACGTGGCCATTGGTAAAAGTAATAAAATCGATCACTGATAGAACGAGGTCTATATCATCCATATTTTCTGTCCTCGAGTAGTTTCTGAACAGTCTGAATCACTTGGTATCAGTGGTGGGTTTTGGTTTTATATCCCGTATTTATTCTAGTAGGTTAACATAAATTATAGAGGGCCTTTGTTTAGCGAAGTCACGATCCGTTTAGAAAGACAACAAATACAATAAGAAATGGCGCGAATCTCAGTCAGTCCGTACCAGGAAATAACAACAAAGTCCAACTGAAATAAAGATGTTAACTGTAGATTTAAATTGCTTTTAGCAAATCTGCGTGTTTCTAACGGAGGAACCATGAAGCAAATGTGAGCACATCTTGATAAGAAAAGCCGGGAAAAACCCAAATATGCCAGTTCATTATCTCATGCCATTTCAATTTCAAATATGCCAAATTTGTGGAATCTGGCATAAAAAAATTCCAATAAGGCAACCCTGCTTGAGAACAGTATATTCCGAGATGTAATTGTAACAGACTCACAGAGCTTGCTTCAGGAAGTTGAAACTGGTGTCCTGAGCGCAGAATGGCTTGTGTCACTTGATAATACCCAGATCAAGAGCATATCACAGATTTTCTGTCCAGGATATGCAGGTGTATGAGTTAACGAGTAGGCTGATAGATTAGCTGCTGCCGCTCCTGTGGGAGGTGAGCTACTATATGATAAAGCGGATGGAGTGAAGACTCTCTGGGATCAAATGGGCAGTGCAAGAGAACAGATAGAAAATACATGCACGGAAAGACTAATAATTTTAAGTAGAGATTCTAAAAGATATTCAGCATTTAGGGAGAACACAGACGCGGAATTAGAATCAGGTTGCTGCTGGTACTATTAGCTTCTTCTTCTTCTTCTTCTTCTTCTTCTTCTTCTTCTTCTTCTTCTTCTTCTTCTTCTTCTTCTTCTTCTTCTTCTTCTTCTTTGTTCACCGGCTGTGAATTCCGGCGAAAGGTCCCGGTTAATCGTTCGTTTGAACTTTCGGCTTTTACCTGGACCTGAGTTTTGCGTGTACAACCGTTTTACTTGCTTTTGCCGTTTCCTGCCTCACGGGCAGATGTACTCCGACTTCGAGGGAAGACGTCAGGCCTATTTCTAGGATGACTGTGGCCATTGTTTTGTGTGGGTCGAGACGTTACCTTATATGTGTGGTGACCTCTTTGTCGCTTTCTCCACAAGTGTTGCCCCCGGAGTACCCCCTTTTGGGCAGCCCAGTGTGGGACGGTTAGCCCTCAAGGGAAGGCAGGGGAAGATCATGGGCATTCCCCGCCATTTTTTAAGGAGGCTTCCATAAAAGCAGAGCCGATATATAACGCTCTGGTTCTAGGCTCACCCAAGGAATCGTCACGTCCTGCACATAACTGCTTAACCTCACAACCGTATTAGGCTTTCCGCTCGACATGGGCTGCGCCCTCCGGAGATCAGCGGGCAGCAGCCCGTGGGTTCTGGACTTAGTGACCACACAAATAGGTACATTCTTCTTCATTGCACGTTAGATACCTTTAACGTTGTTTCAACCGTGCCCTTAGCCCGACAGTATGGGGAAGCATGCCTCAGGCGCGGCTTCACCTGTTTGGTCCCAACACTCGGGCGAGTTGGACCAGAGTATACGGACATTTGGGCTTTTATCTAATCGGTACGATTTATGATATTCGGACTTTGAGCTTGCTTGTGTGCTGTAGGATCTGACTTTATCAGACATTATTACCTAGCCAGCGGATAAAAAGTTACTATCGTTGTGTACCTCAGCGCGATGACGACGGCGCTGAGGATTGACAGGAGTTTTACGTAGGTAGGATCTGACTGTGAGAAATCAGCCACAATAGATGTTACTCGTCTTGGCTGCGGGTATATCTCAAGGGTTGAGTCTCAGTAGCACAGTTTTCCATTCGATCCAGACTTTTAACAGAGAGTTGTCATTGGATGGTACATTTGCCAAGCAGTCTTTACTCATATTCCGAATGAGTTTTGATAGACTTGTCACCCACTCGTTTGGGGGCAGGCTGATGAGGACCAGAAAGGACACTACACCTCTGGGAGCCGCCAGCTCCGATATCCCCTGCCAACTCTGTTAATGCTCGTTTGAGACATTATCCGTGGCGCACGACGGGGACGTGCAGCAGGAGTTTTGCATGAGGTTCCATAAAACCAGAACAGTGAAGGACTGGCGCCCTAGTGAGGTACGGAGTATCTCCTTGTACACATCACATCAGACTTAACTTTCCCTCACGCCTGTGACCTAAATCACAGCGCGTTTTCCCGCGCACACGGGGACCGGGGAGTACATGGCTCACAGCGCGTTCTCCCGGAGACGGTGATACATGCGACACAACTGGACGCCTGCCAACCAGCCATGCCGGCAGGACTGACCGAAAAAGCTATGCCAGCTTACTGAACGCTGGCCTGCAACTCGTCGAGATAGAGCGGGCCTTTAGCGAGACCTTCGTCGGAACCACCGTAACAGACACTTTCGTTCACTCACACCGCGACCGTGGCAGCGAACTGGCGGACACACACAGTATCTTGGCACTTTGCCACCCTCTACATCGGAATCCGACTGGGAGGTGCCCGCTAACGGGATGCACCACGCGCAGCCTTAAGGGACAGCGAACGCTGGAACCGGGGTACTATTAGCAAATCAACTCTTGGTTGGTTAATGTAGGAGGAGACGGACCACGTATGTGAATGTCATGAGTGCAGTAATGTCTATTCTTGATTCCTTTATTCTCCCCGTGTGGGTTCCAGGGCCCAGTTGTAGGAAAACCAAGAATATAAACCCAAGAATATACAAACTGCCTGCCCAAAAGCGTTGTAAGAGTCGACTAATTGGAAGCTTCATTCGAAGACGGAGTACCTCTGCCTGACAGGCAAGGAACCAAGAAACGGACGTACACGCAACACTCAGATTCTGGAACAGGACTAGAGTCCAGAAGTGGGTGAACAACCATAATTTTCCGCCGGAGCTTACAGCCGGTGAACGCGAAGAAGAAAAGAATTTATTCATTCATTATGGGTGTTTTCTTATTTGAAAAGTAGCCTGGTTGTTCGGTCTGTTCTTTCTAATGCCAAGCCACCGAAAGATTTGCAGCGTTTATAACATCCGCACTGCACATCTCCTCGCCCATCCCATTTTCGACCTTGTCCAGGAATCAAGAAAGCAAGTTCGAAAATTTGAAATAAATAACTGGAGTTTTAAGAGAAATAGTAAAAATTCACAGAGTAGAGCACTTACTTGGCCTACCAATCGAAAAGGTTGCTGAAGGCTGAGGACGTAGTCTAAAGCCATGTGGATGTGGAAAGCAACGGGAAACTACCACATTACTATCCCAAGAAACTCATTATTGAAGCCAGCAAAGAAGATGAAAAATACTGACATCTTGAAAGATCTGAACATCAAGGAAGATTTGATAATAAACAGCATCCTGTCTGGGAAGCTGAAATATTTTGGTCATATCAAGCGCCACGGCGGATTGGAAAAAAATATAGCAGAAGGCATGGTACCAGGAAGGAGGGGTAGGAGCCGACCGACATAAAGATGGGCACAGGATATAAGTGACTCCTTGAGTATGAAAGTACATGAGGCGAGAGAACTGGCGAGAGACCGAGGCAGACCGTGATAAGAGCGACGTTCTACAAATGGACCTGCTACATGAGGAGGTGGTATATTGATGCACAGCAAGCTAGATGTTGTAAACGCCCTCCCTTTGGGAACAAATGAACAGTGCGGAGGCAGAATGTTGTTGCGAATTCTTCTTCACAGCCGTTCACCGGCTGTGAATTCCGGCGGAAGGTCCCGGTTAATCGTTTGTTTGAACTTTTGGCTTTTACCTGGACCTGAGTTTTGCGTGTACAACCGTTTTACTGGCTTTTGCCGTTCCCTGCCTCACGGGCAGATGTACTCCGACTTCGAGGGAAGACGTCAGTCCTATTTCTAGGATGACTGTGGCCATGTTGCGAGAAGTGACCCGGCCGACGCTCAACACTCCGGGGGAAATGCCAGATGGACATACAATCAAGCTGCTACTGGCACCGTCAGAGGTGGAACAGTTTTGGCTGCTGAAGATGAGGATATAGCGCTCATGTGATTGTCCCCGAGTGCTCTGACGTCCAATCTTTTCAGCTTATTTCAACTGAACACGGAGGATGCAAACGAAGCTATAAACTGAGTTAAATAGCTTTCAGTAATTAGATTATCTAAGGTGTCCGGTAATATCTACTTTAGTTCTTTCCTCACCAACAGTTGTTGATCAATGCGAATTTGAACCGTATTTAGCCAGTGTCTGAAGATATGCGCATCTCTCTCTCTCTCTCTCTCTCTCTCTCTCTCTCTCTCTCTCTCTGGGTTCCGAGGTCCCACTGTGGGGAAAACAAGAGCAGACCCATTTCCTACCCACGAGCATGTCGTAAGAGTCGACTAACTGGGAGCTTCTTTCGAAGTTGGACTGCTTCTGCTGAGAGGCAAGGAACCAACAGTCAGCATAGCCTACACCAGTCACATTCGTAGATGTGCACACAACACTCAGGTTTTGCAACAGGACTAGAATCCAGAAGTGGACGAACAACCAGGTTTCCACCGGAGTTTACAGAAAGGGAGTGCGAAGAAGAAGAAACAGTTAATATTTCTAAAGTCACCCATACAAATACAAAGAAATGTGACTAAAGGGTTAGGGTGAAGTGATGGCTGAAAAGATTTTTGAAAAGGGACCAATCTAGCTGACGCATATATAAGAGTTAAACATGTTTAGATTAAAACGGAGACACCTGTTTAGTATAGTTCTTTTCTGCCTTTAATATTATCCTTAGAGAAACGTGAATATTTTGTTGATCTGAATCAAGACTTCACACACACAAAAAGTTATTCCCACTGCAGGAAGTCAGTCACTGCGGGAATAATCCAAGATGGCTGATCGCGAAGGTAAACAATGTGTGAATCTGAGTTGCATGTAATTTTACTATTATATGATATGTTGCAACTTAAGTTTTGTTATTGCAATTTTTCTGTCTACATGTTACACAATTCTGTAGATGTTTTTAGTAAGAAATGATTGTATTCCTCAAACTACAGCTTAACACTGAGGAGGAGATCCTAACACTGCCGTGAGTTGTTTGACAGTGCAGTGAGAATGATCTGTAGGCTAAGGCTAACGCCGGATGTTAGATGTTTATGGATTGTATGGTCAGCATCACATCGGCAACCTGTGCCTCCCAGGACTTTAGCTGGTATTCAGTTTAGACTGGGCCAACCTTGGAGCCAAGGTTAATTTTGAAATAAATCAGATTAATTGCAGATTCAAACCAAAGACCTTCAGGCTGGTAGGTTGGCGTCTAACACTGGGATGGGTCATCTTAACCCGCAAGCCAAACACAGCCTTCTAAGCAATTTTACTGGCCCTCCAGACTGGTGTAAAATTACTATATAATTTGGTTTCTTTCAGTAATATGGTTTCTGCCAATAACCAGCTTGAACAGACACTAGACACATTTAAGGAACATACAACAAGAGCTTCGCTAAATGAGTGTGTCTGGTCAGAGGCATAGCCCAGCATTATAATCTTAGATTATCCCATACAAATCACATGTTATGGGTGTTATGTACATAAAGTATTTTTTTCTATATGGTTCACAACCAGGTTGGTAAATTCTAAATTTCTGAAGAAAAGTGTACTAATAGCACTACACCACTGCAGGTCACCATTCTATGAAAAACAGTGCTGACTTCACTCAAGTAGAAGGAATACCATTTTGAATAACAACCCATACAGATCGTGGCCAGAAATTTAATTTTATCATGGCATGGAAAGCTTTTACAGAAAATGTGCAAGTATCATTAGCAAGTTTTATAACAACTGGAAAAGTTGGTTTATAAATTCATTGGCTATCCTCCGAATAACGGTCCCTAATTATTGAGGCTGAAAATAAACCCTAACAGGGCCTCAGTCAGATGTAAATTGCTGACCTCTTCCAGTGACTACACAGCACACCGCCGAGAGTATCTCCCGGAGCTAAACTAGATGGCTGGGACTCACGAGCAAATAAAAAGGAGGAAGCTGCATGAGATGAGGTAGCTGCTGCTTGTGAGTCCTAGCTATCTAGTTTAGCCCTGCGCGTAGCTGCACGAGAGATACTCTCGGCAGTGACTTAACTCGGCGGAAGCTTTTTCACTGTATTCTGTGTAGTCGCTGTGAGGCACTGTAAGGGTATATTTTTCAGCCTACATAATTTGGGACCGTTATTCGGAGAATAGCCAATTTATTTTATGAAAAATTGTTTTAAGAATATTCTGTGATGTAGTTTAGTCTATTAGGGAGATAATGGCAACATTTGCTTAAAATATTTGGAATAGAAAGAGCCAAAGGGCTTTTTCTTTAACAAAACTATTGAATGTTATAAACTTTCATTGTTTCACAGGGGCTTTAGAAGAAGAAGGCAACTGTGCTGACGAAGAGTCTGAGATTTTAGACTTGGAGGGACAAGGATTGACCAGTATACACTTGCCAGGGAATGTTCAGCCCAAGACCTTGATACTGGACAACAATGATCTAACAAAACTTGATGGATTGAATGTCTGTCCTGATTTATGCCAGGTAAGTGGTGCCAGATTGAGCAGTAACGCTGCTTTATATTGTATGTTGTTTATGTCAGGTAAGTGGTGCCAGATTTAGCAGTAATGCTGCTTTATATTGCATGTTGTTTATGGCAGGTAAGTGGTGCCAGATTTAGCAGTAACGCTGCTTTATATTGCATGTTGTTTATGTCAGGTAAGTGGTGCCAGATTTGGGCAGTAGCGCTGCTTTATATTGCATGTTGTTTATGGCAGGTAAGTGGTGCCAGATTGAGCAGTAACGCTGCTTTATATTGCATGTTGTTTATGGCAGGTAAGTGGTGCCAGATTTAGCAGTAACGCTGCTTTATATTGCATGTTGTTTATGTCAGGTAAGTGGTGCCAGATTGGGCAGTAGCGCTGCTTTATATTGCATGTTGTTTATGGCAGGTAAGTGGTGCCAGATTGGGCAGTAGCGCTGCTTTATATTGCATGTTGTTTATGTCAGGTAAGTGGTGCCAGATTGGGCAGTAGCGCTGCTTTATATTGCATGTTGTTTATGGCAGGTAAGTGGTGCCAGATTGGGCAGTAGCGCTGCTTTATATTGCATGTTGTTTATGGCAGGTAAGTGGTGCCAGATTGAGCAGTGACACTGCTTTATATTGCATGTTGTTTATGGCAGGTAAGTGGTGCCAGATTGGGCAGTAGCGCTGCTTTATATTGCATGTTGTTTATGGCAGGTAAGTGGTGCCAGATTGGGCAGTAGCGCTGCTTTATATTGTATTTTGTTTATGGCAGGTAAGTGGTGCCAGATTGGGCAGTAGCGCTGCTTTATATTGCATGTTGTTTATGGCAGGTAAGTGGTGCCAGATTGGGCAGTAGCACTGCTTTATATTGCATGTTGTTTATGTCAGGTAAGTGGTGCCAGATTGAGCAGTGACACAAGGTAAGTGGTGCCAGATTGAGCAGTGACACTGCTTTATATTGCATGTTGTTTATGGCAGGTAAGTGGTGCCAGATTGGGCAGTAGCGCTGCTTTATATTACATGTTGTTTATGGCAGGTATGTGGTGCCATATTGGGCAGTGTCGCTGCTTTATATTGCATGTTGTTTATGTCATGTTAGTGGTGCCAGATTAAGCAGTGATGCTGCTTTATATTGCATGTTGTTTATGTCATGTTAGTGGTGCCAGATTGGGCAGTAGTGCTGCTTTATATTGCATGTTGTTTATGGCAGGTAAGTGGTGCCAGATTGGGCAGTAGCGCTGCTTTATATTGTATGTTGTTTATGGCAGGTAAGTGGTGCCAGATTGGGCAGTAGCGCTGCTTTATATTGCATGTTGTTTATGGCAGGTAAGTGGTGCCAGATTGGGCAGTAGCACTGCTTTATATTGCATGTTGTTTATGTCAGGTAAGTGGTGCCAGATTGAGCAGTGACACTGCTTTATATTGCATGTTGTTTATGGCAGGTAAGTGGTGCCAGATTGGGCAGTAGCGCTGCTTTATATTGCATGTTGTTTATGGCAGGTAAGTGGTGCCAGATCGGGCAGTAGCGCTGCTTTATATTGCATGTTGTTTATGGCAGGTAAGTGGTGCCAGATTGGGCAGTAGCGCTGCTTTATATTGCATGTTGTTTATGGCAGGTAAGTGGTGCCAGATCGGGCAGTAGCGCTGCTTTATATTGCATGTTGTTTATGGCAGGTAAGTGGTGCCAGATTGGGCAGTAGCGCTGCTTTATATTGCATGTTGTTTATGGCAGGTAAGTGGTGCCAGATTGGGCAGTAGCGCTGCTTTATATTGCATGTTGTTTATGGCAGGTAAGTGGTGCCAGATTGGGCAGTAGCGCTGCTTTATATTGCATGTTGTTTATGGCAGGTATGTGGTGCCATATTGGGCAGTGTCGCTGCTTTATATTGCATGTTGTTTATGTCAGGTAAGTGGTGCCAGATTAAGCAGTGATGCTGCTTTATATTGCATGTTGTTTATGTCATGTTAGTGGTGCCAGATTGGGCAGTAGTGCTGCTTTATATTGCATGTTGTTTATGGCAGGTAAGTGGTGCCAGATTGGGCAGTAGCGCTGCTTTATATTGTATGTTGTTTATGGCAGGTAAGTGGTGCCAGATTGGGCAGTAGCGCTGCTTTATATTGCATATTGCATGTTGTTTATGGCAGGTAAGTGGTGCCAGATTGGGCTTTATATTGCAGTAGCGCTGCTTTATATTGCATGTTGTTTATGGCAGTGGTGCCAGTAGCAGTGGTGCCAGATTTGTTTATGTCAGGCAGTGCCAGATTGGGCAGTAGCGCTGCTTTATATTACATGTTGTTTATGGCAGGTAAGTGGTGCCAGATTGGGCAGTAGCGCTGCTTTATATTGCATGTTGTTTATGGCAGGTAAGTGGTGCCAGATTGAGCAGTGACGCTGCTTTATATTGCATGTTGTTTATGTCAGGTAAGTGGTGCCAGATTGAGCAGTGATGCTGCTTTATATTGCATGTTGTTTATGTCAGGTAAGTGGTGCCAGATTGGGCAGTAGCGCTGCTTTATATTGCATGTTGTTTATGGCAGGTAAGTGGTGCCAGATTGGGCAGTAGCGCTGCTTTATATTGCATGTTGTTTATGGCAGGTAAGTGGTGCCAGATTGAGCAGTGACGCTGCTTTATATTGCATGTTGTTTATGGCAGGTAAGTGGTGCCAGATTGGGCAGTGACGCTGCTTTATATTGCATGTTGTTTATGGCAGGTAAGTGGTGCCAGATTGGGCAGTGACGCTGCTTTATATTGTATGTTGTTTATGGCAGGTAAGTGGTGCCAGATTGGGAAGTGACACTGCTTTATATTGCATGTTGTTTATGGCAGGTAAGTGGTGCCAGATTGAGCAGTAACGCTGCTTTATATTGCATGTTGTTTATGGCTGTGTAGTGACCCCTTAAACAAAAGAAAGCCTCTAAATGCACTTAAAAAAACAAAACTAAATTAATTCCTGATCCTAAGAAATGAGTATGCAGCCACAAGTGACAACAGTGCTGTTAGTTAGGTGTTGTTGGGAACAGGCCACTTTAGCCATATCAGTTCTTCTTCTTTGCTTTCACTGGCTGTAAATCTCAGTTAAAAGTTCTGGTTAATCTTCGGCTTATTTGCATGCAGACTGTTGGTTCCTTGCCTCTCGGGCATATGCACTCCGACTTTAAACGAAAACGCCAGTTTGTCGACTCTTATGACATGCTTGTTAGGGAGGCAGTGAATCTATTCTTGGTTCCCAAACACTGGGGTCCTGAAACCCAAACGTTAGACCCAACCAGAAGTTTTGGGTTTGTACCTTCTTGGAGAGACAGGTTTAAATAAGGAGCATGGTGGAAACAGAAGTGTTGAAACACTAGTTGCTAACTGTTCGGCATTGGTAACACTCTAACAGCAGACTTTGTTAGGAAGAAGTCCATCAGGTTCTCCGTGTCACTATGACACCTGCAGTACTTCTGCCAAAACTCTCCAATCTTTGGTCATGTTTGATAGCTCAAGCCTCATAAATGTGTCGGATGAATTCTCACATTATTGCTTTTGGCATTAAATCCTATCTTGACTTTAACTTTTCAGTTTCCCAGGGTTTTTCTACTGTGTAGAAAGCTAGATTAACTGAAACCCTGTGATTTCTAACTATGTTTTCATGTTAAAGATCAGTGGGAACTGTCATAGTTCAATGGCTAGTATGTTTAACTGCGGGCTTAAAGGCAATATGGTTAAATCCGCCTTGATGTGAACATTGATTTCATTGACATAGACTCTCAGATCAAGTAAGCATAAAAAAAATGTGAACCCAGAAATTTTCTGGGGAGTAATAGAAATCAGTAAGATATTTGACCACCCAATCAAGCACTTTGTTCTAAAAATATGGGTCTGATATATATCGCCAATGTGTCTCTGAATTTTGAAACATATGGTTTATATACCATTTACTTTACCTAAACAAGAGTGAAGACAAGCATGGGAGACTATATGTTATGTTTATAATTAGTTTTTATCTTGCAGCTGTCTGTTATTTTAATGTTTATAAATAATTATTCTTTTGCAGCTGTCTATATTTTTGAATGTTTATAAATCTAATTCTCTTGTAGCTGTATATTTGTATGTTTATAAATTACTGATTTCTTGCAGTTTTTTGTATATTTGTATGTTTATAAATACTGATTCTCTTGTAGCTGCCTGTATATTTGTATGTTTGTGAACATTGATTCTCTTCAGTTCTCATTATGCCTAGTGGCACATGAGGCTTCAGAGAGGACTTTCCATGCTTTCCTGTCCTGTGCAATCTTCAGTGCAGTTTTCCATGTCAAAGATGCCGCACTCAGGTCACTTTCCATCGCTCGTCTCCATGTTGTTTTTGGGCGCCCCTGTTTTCTCTTTCCCTATGGTGTCCATGTGAGAGCTGTTTTGGCAGGTAAATCAGAAGTCATTCTCATAATGTGGCCAAGCCATTTCCATCTTCTCTTGGCAATCATACTGTCTAAAGTTTCTTGGTTTGTGGCTTGAAGTAGTGTAGTGTTTGAGATTGTATCTGGCCAGAAAATTTTCATAATTCTACGTAGACATATGTGGTGGAAGGTGAACAGCTTGTGTGCATCCTTTTTGGTCATTCTCCAGCATTCCGCTCCATAAAGAAGAACTGGCAAAATGATGCTGTTGTAGAGTTGGAGTTTTGTTCCTCTGCAGTAATTGTTAGATTTCCAGATTTGCCTCATCCTTCCAAAAGCAGCTCTAGCTTTGTTCAGGCGTGACTGTGTCTTCCTCTGTCCCTCCCAGTAGGGACACCACACTGCCAAGATATGTGAAATGTTCCACATTTTCAAGTGATTGGTTACTTATGGTCACTGGTTGTTGGTTTGGACTGTTTGTCATGATCTTAGTTTTCTTTGTATTTATTCTCAGTCCCGCCATTTCTGCTGTGCAGTGTAGTCTGTTACTTTTCTCTTGTATATGTTCATGTTTATGTGATAGGAGTGCTATATAATCTGCAAAATCAAGGTCCTCAAGGATGGTGAATGGAGTCCATCGTATGCCTCTTAATGTCCCGTCTACTGTGTTCTTTAGTATCCAATCAATCACGAGGTTGAAGAGGAGATATGACATAACACATCCCTGTCTTGCACCTATCTTTACTGGGAAAGATGAATTGTAATTTTTTTATACTGCAGGAAAAGTCTTTATAGAAGAGAGCAATTATGTTGACTATTTTTTCTGGAATTCCATAATGTCGTACAATTTTCCACAGACCGTCTCTATGGACGCTGTCAAAAGCTTTCTTAAAGTCCACAAAATTAATATATATACTTCTCTGCCATTCATTGCATTGTTCTAAAATGTTATGTATGGCGAAGATGTGCTCAGTTGTTCCTCTGCCCTTTCTGAATCCTGCTTGTTCCACTCGTAGGCATTTATCTACTCCTTTTTCAAGCAGCATTATGATGATTTTACAAAATATTTTGCTTGGTACTGAGAGTAGAGTAATTCCCCTCCAATTATTGCAGTCTGTTAAGTCTCCTTTTTTGGGGATTTTGACTATTGTTCTTTCAGTCCTGTCATCAGGCAACACTTCTTTTTCCCAAATATCCTTGAACAATGGTTCTAGAATGCTAGCAGTTGTGTTGGGATCTACTTTGAGAAGTTCTGCTGGCAGTTCGTCTATGCCTGGTGCTTTGTTGTTCTTTAAAGTGTGGATAGCTTTAAGGATTTCTTGTTTGCTTGGTGGTTCAGTAATAATGTCAATGTCCTGAGAGGCTGGTTGAATATCTGGGGGATTTTCAGGATCAGGTCTGTTCAAAAGGTCGGAGAAGTGTTTAGTCCACTGCATGTCTTGTTTTTGTTCTATGGTGAGCAGTCTGCCTTGGTTATCTTTGATGGGTATGCTGTGATAATAGTTTATGTTTCTGCAAATTTGCAAGGCGATTTTGTTTAGGGTTTGTAGATCATGTGCTTTAGCAGCATTTTCTGCTGTTTCTGCAAGATTTTCCATAAATCTTCTCTTGTCAGCTCTGGCACTTTTCTTTGTCATTTTATTTAGTTCGCTATATTTTAACATTAGTTTGTCTTTCTGACGTTCTGATTTAGTGTGATTTATGAGGCTCTTTATTCTTTTTTGCTTGGCAATATAGTCCATGGTTTGACTACTTATCCATTCTTTCTGGTGTTGTTTCCTGGTTCCTAATATGTTATTGCTAGTTGATTTGTATGTTTCTTTGATCTGGTTCCATCTGTCTTGAATGCTGATTGTAGTTGGAGTTTCTGGTTCACTTGATAGGGTTTGAAATCTATTCTTGAGTTCTACTATAAATTTAGTGTCAATTTCTTTTTCTCTTGAAAGGTTAATATTGTAACGTGCTGCCTGTGTCTTAACTTGCGTGTAAACTTTTTTGAGTTTAAGTCGTAGTAGAGCGACTACAAGGTATTGATCGCTTCCCACATCTACTTCCCTTTTGACATGCACATCGAGTAGGGACCCACGCCATTTTCTGTTTACCATGAAATGGTCGATCTGGTTTACATCTCTTCTGTTTGGGGATATCCATGTAAGCTTGTGTATATTCTTGTGAGGAAATAGTGTTCCTTCTATAACAAGTCTATTCACTGTGCAGAAGTCGCTTAGTCTTTCCCCGTTGTCATTAATTGTACCACATCCTTGATTTCCCATTGATAATTCTCTATTCAAGTTGTTGTTACCAAATTTTGCATTGAGATCTCCCATAATGCATAGAATATCATGGGCTGGTACTTTATCTACTACCTCTTGCAGTCTCCTATAGAATGTTTCTTTATCTTCATCTTCAGCTTCATTAGTTGGTGCTTAGCATTGGATGATTGTAAGTTTGGCAAGTTTCCCATTGAATCGTGCTGTCATTATTCTTTCATTGATTGGATTCTCTTGCTGATGTCTTTATATCTGTATGACTATAAAGATTGATTCTCTTGCAGCTTTCACATTGATTCTTTTGCAGCTGTCCGTATATTTGTATGTCTGTAAACATTGGTTCTCTTGCGGCTGTCCGTATATCTTTATGTCTATAAACATTGATTTTCTTGCAGCTGTCTAGATATCTCTGTCTATAAACAATGATTCTCTTGCAGCTGTCTGTATATCGCTATGTCTATAAACAATGATTCTCTTGCAGCTATCTGTGTGTCTGTAAACATTGATTCTCTTGCAGCTGTCTGTATATCTCTGTGTCTATAAACATTGATTCTCTTGCAGCTGTCTAGATATCTGTATGTCTATAAACATTGATTCTCTTGCAGCTGTCTGTATATCTGTATGTCTATAAACATTGATTCTCTTGCAGCTGTCTAGATATCTGTATGTCTGTAAACATTGATTCTCTTGCAGCAGTCTGTATATCTCTGTGTCTATAAACATTGATTCTCTTGCAGCATTCTGTATATCTCTGTGTCTATAAACATTGATTCTCTTGCAGCTGTCTTTATATCTGGATGTCTATAAACATTTATTCTCTTGCAGCAGTCTGTATATCTCTATGTCTATAAACATTGATTCTCTTGCAGCTGTCTGTATATCTCTATGTCTATAAACATTGATTCTCTTGCAGCTGTCTGCTGTCAACAACCACATTGTCCACATGACTGGCCTGCATCTGCTGAATTGCCTGACAGTTCTCAGCTTGTCCAACAACAGTATTGGAGTTATAGAGGGCATAGAAGGATTGGCTCAGCTCACTTGGCTAGACTTGTCCTCAAATTCTATTAAGGTAAACTCCATTAGATACTAGATTCCGAAATAAAGTTAGCTCTCTATAAACTAGTAGATTGTAAGTACAGAAGCACCAGCTTGAGAGTAATTGAGGATGGCATTGCAACAGTGAACTATTCAAGAGTTAATAATGATTGAGTCTGAACCTCAATCATACATATTTGCTGTTCTCACTGATAGCTGGATGCAGTCAGAAGAAGAGGAGAGGATTCAGAATGAGATGATCCACAAAATGCCCTCCCTCTGTTAGTTATTTAGTTGACAAATCATCTTCATTGCACATTGACAACACTTATGCTTACCCTGTGTTAAAAACCAGTGTAATTCCCCATATTTAACACCAGTATTATTCCCTATATTTAACACCAATGTTATTCCCCATATTTAACACCAGTTTTATTCCCCATATTTAACACCAGTCTTATTTCCCATATTTAACACCAGTCTTATTTCCCATATTTAACACGTGTTATTCCCCATATTTATCACCAGTGTTATCACCCATTTTCAACACCAGTGTTATTCCCAATATTTAACACCAGTGTTATTCCCTATATTTAACACCAATGTTAATCCCCATTTTTAACCCATGTTTTCCTCACCTGTATCAATAGTTTTTTTTCTCTTGTTTAACAAGTCTTTTTCTACCTCTGTATCACCGGTGTTATTTTAAATGGTAAACACCAGTTTTATTTCTCTTGTTTAACACCAGTATTGTTTCTCATGTTTAACATCAGTATTATTTCTCATGTTTAATACAAGTATTATTTAAAACCAGTATTATTTCTCCTCTTTACTTAAAGTAAAAACTTCTTGCATAGAATGAGTGAAAATAACACTTGTTGGGAACTGAAAGAGGATGTATAAAAACATGAAACAAATCTAATGAGCAATATTGTATAAAATACATGATACTTAACTGAAATCTGGGTCAGAAAGAAATCACTCTGTATAGGCTGACAAGGATTGGAGAGGGAGAAATACATGGCAGTGTGGGTTGAGTACTGTTATTAGGCCGAGGAGAGTGGCTGAAATCCTGTCACTGGCAAAGACATCCATATTTGCTTTCTTGAATATTGGATGGTTGAACTAATAAACCTGCAGTGTAGCTGTAGAGGGTCATTGCTGCCAGTGGTACCAGCAGGGTCTCCTCAGTTGGATGCATCCAGTGGTCCTGGAGCAGATAAAGTAAGATATACAGACTTGCTGCTGGTCCAGTAAATTTGACATAGTCTAATAATAGAGAAGTCAAACTCAGGAGAAATGCCCGTCAAACCTGAAGCCACTTACCTCTCACTGTAAAACTAAAGAGAAGTAGAATCCAAGGAAATGTACTTAGAAGGATTCAATCCTTCTTACACAACAGGAGAACTAGAGTCACTATTGATTGCCTGCAGAGCAGATAAGTGTTTCTTCATCAAGGATTACCACAGGGAGGAGTTATCTCTCCAACTCTCTTTCTTGTTTATATCAATGCCCTGGTTAAAGACCTCCCTATAGGAGTGAAGACTGCCCTGTATGCTGATGATCTGGCACTCTAGTGTACTGATGAATGTGCCACAGTGGCAAATATAAGAATGACCTGGGCAGAAAAGTGGCTTGATGCCATCAACATAGACGAAACTTCCACAACTTTCTCTCTTTCCCCCAGAGACAAAAACTTGTCTGTTGGTGTAAATCAGAAGGCGATCACAAGAACTTGTCTGTCAGTGTAAATCAGAAGGCAATCACAAGAACTTTCTGTCAGTGTAAATCAGAAGGCAATCACAAGAACTTGTCTGTCGGTGTAAATCAGAAAGCGATCACAAGAACTTGTCTGTCGGTGTAAATCAGAAAGCAATCACAAGAACTTGTCTGTCAGTGTAAATCAGAAGGCAATCGCAAGAACTTGTCTGTCAGTGTAAATCAGAAGGCAATCGCAAGAACTTGTCTGTTGGTGTAAATCAGAAGGCAATCACAAGAACTTGTCTGTCAGTGTAAATCAGAAGGCAATCACAAGAACTTGTCTGTCAGTGTAAATCAGAAGGCAATCACAAGAACTTGTCTGTCAGTGTAAATCAAAAGGCAATCGCAAGAACTTGTCTGTCGGTGTAAATCAGAAGGCAATCGCAAGAACTTGTCTGTCAGTGTAAATCAGAAGGCGATCACAAGAAGTCTGTCAGTGTAAATCAGAAGGCAATCACAAGAACTTTCTGTCAGTGTAAATCAGAAGGCAATCACAAGAACTCGTCTGTCAGTGTAAATCAGAAGGCAATCACAAGAACTCGTCTGTCAGTGTAAATCAGAAGGCAATCACAAGAACTCGTCTGTCGGTGTAAATCAGAAGGCAATCACAAGAACTTGTCTGTCAGTGTAAATCAGAAGGCGATTACAAGAACTCGTCTGTCAGTGTAAATCAGAAGGCAATCACAAGAACTCGTCTGTCAGTGTAAATCAGAAGGCAATCACAAGAAAAAGAAGAAGAAGCTAACAACTCAACAAAACAGTGCATTGCAATTCACATTGTGATGAATGTGTATAACATTTACAAAGATTAACATTTGCAACCACCATCATCACTGCCTGTCTTGCTAAATGTTGTTGGTATTCATGTCCCTACACAGATCTCCGTCTTTCTGTTCTGGATCAGTTCTGTTGATCAAAATTTTCCAAACTGCCATTATTCTTCTAGACTATCCAACTCTTTTACAGCTACAATTCCAGTCATCACAACTATCCATACATAAACATAAATATTATATAATCCCAGGTAATGGAAAATCTGCCTAAAGGAGGACAACTGCACTATCTGGACTTGTCTGACAATGACATCACTCATATTTCAGACTTAAGCACGCTGAATAACTTAAAGGTTTGCAAGTATTTTTATGTTGTTATTTGAAGTTTGCATTATTTTATGTGTTTATTATTTAGTTCAGGATTTGTTGTCTTTGTATAAAATGTTTTATTACAATTTTGTGTGTGCTAAATACGTTTTGTCTAAATTAAATTGTTAGTGTGTAACCCTTTGGAGACAACGCGGCTGAAATATCAGCCCGACACAAAGTAGCCAAAAGTACGATAGGGCCGATCGGTCGGCCCTATGTATTACAAGCCTTGAGACGGCTGGCAGGTTTTCATACCAGCCAATCAGATTGCTTCTCGCATTTCTTGCACGTGTGGGCTGTTCAATGACAGCTTTCAAGAAAGTTTGGTGTGTTCTGTAATTTTACATCAATGTGGGGGGGGGGGGGGGTACCCATGCCCAACACTGGCAAAAAGGATTGTTGTGTCATAGCAACTGAAACATATCTGGAGGCAGGAAAATGAGTAGAACCATGTACCAGAAGTGTCTGAAAGGCCTCCAAGGGCCTTACTTCCCAAAACACAAGTGTTAGGACTTATTCAAGCTTCATCCATAAAAAAATTAACCCAAATTTTGTAGGTTAGTCATGTTTGTTCCCAGGTAAAAAAAAATGCTTGCATAAGTTATGCAAATCGAAAAGTTAATTCGAATAAATATTTAGATTTCCGTTTGATTAATAAATATTCTGTTAGCTCATTCAGTTTCCCACACAAATATAAATAGTTTTGTATATGTTAATTAAACGCTTTATTTTTTATAATTTTTTGTGTAAAGACTATGAGAATCCCCTCATGAAAGCTTTGTCTTTTTAGCACACTGAAACTCCAAAAAGGCTCCGTTTCCAGAGGGTTAATCTACCCACACACAGGAATCTTTAGACACCATAAGTTCTACCCACACACAGGAACCCTTAGACACCATAAGTTCTACCCACACACAGGAACCCTTCGACACCATAAGTTCTACCCACACACTGGAACCCTTAGACACCATAAGTTTCTCACCCCGACATTGGACTACAGGTTAATTCATAACTGTACGGGTAAAAAAGTGTTAATTTTTGAACTGGGTTTCTGGGATTACCTCCTATTTGATTCTCATCCCTGACTTTACTTCAAGGAACATTGGGGAAAGGGAGGGGGAAGTAGTCGAAGAAGGAGGGCAACAAAGAACCTGGAATGAAAACATCAAGAAATTGACAAGATTAAGTTATCATACAGTTGTTCATCAAGCAGAAGATAGAGAAAGATGGTGGGTTTTGTGTGTTAGTGCTTCCATCCATACACCTGTGTAACTATAATGAGTCAGGGGTTGTGTTTGTTGTATCATTTGCATTTCATCTGTTGGCACATGGATAATGATCATGTGGTTTTCCAAAATCGTGTCAGATTTATTGATACTCCTGACCTCTTTGCACAGGTCTGATGTTTGTTTCCTTCATAAAATGTCATGATTTTTCTTTTCTTCAGACCCTCCTTCTCCATAGCAACAACATCTCAAGCTTGAAGACAGTGCCAGCTTGCCTTCCTCAGAGTATTGGAGTTCTGTCCCTTGCTGACAACAGCATCTATGATTTGAATGAGGTATTGTTTAGTCACTACAAATTGAACCATAAACAAAGTCCAACAAAAATACGCTCATTGTCAATATTGAAACACCTTTGCAAATTGTACTAGTTACCTCCCTGTGTAGGTTCTGGGGCCCATTTTTGGGGACATTTCTTCTTCTTTTTCTGCGTTCGACATCAGTCATGCTACACATTGAGTCCCGTCTGGGTCAAAAATAGGATTGTGCGTTTAAGGTCGCCACCGGTCCCCCATAGCTTCTCTCGCAATGTGGATCCCCTTTTGGGGACAAAAAGTTTAGATCCACTGTCTCCCTAACAAGCATGTTGTAAGAGTTGCCCAGTTAGGGGTTTTCCAAGAAGCTGGAGTGTATCTGCCTGAGAGGCACACAGATAAGCCAGAACTGTAAAATGGATATGCCTGCAAAACTCAAGTTCTGGAACAAAACTAAAGTCCAGAAGTGGACTGACCACCAGAATTTTCTGTCGGAGTTTACAGCCAGTGAACGTAAAGAAGAAGGAAGAAGAAGTATCAGTTCCCAACATGCACCCTCATGAAACCATCAACCACTCACTCTCAAACATCAGAGAAAAGCCTCTATAATCTTCAGCAGCTAACAACTTATTCTGTGGGTCCTTGGAACAGCAATAACAGGTCTGCTGATTTCTAAAAATCGCTCTAAGTTTAATATTTTTATATAGTTTTTTTCTCCAAAAAAACAAACATGTTTGTCAGGTAATCAAATATATCTCCAGCAATGCTTGACCTGGTAACAGTCTGAAAACAGTGACCCACAGAGAACTGTAGGTTACCTGGTTACAGTCTAACAACAATGACCCACAGAGGACTGTAGGTTACCTGGTAACTTCTTCTTCTTCTTCTTCTTTGCGTTCGGTATCGTATGCTCAGATCAGACCATCAGGTGGGTTGCCTCTATGAACTCACATGTCAGATGCAGGTCCTGCATGGTTCCCCATAGCTTGCTCTACACACTTTGCTCTTGAGGCCAGGTGTCTTTTCCAAGTTGTAGGTAGAGTGGGCAGGTCTGCAGAATGTGCTCAGGTGTTTGTGGTCCTGTTTGACAGGCACACTGGGGGGACTGTACAATCTTTATTTTTTGCATGTGGTAGTTGAGCTTGCAGTGTCCTGTTCGTAGACGGAAAATTGTTGTATGTTGCTTTCTGTTGAGTCTGCTGATGGGGTCTTGTGGATGTTTACTGTTAGTTTGTTCTCTCCACAATCCCTTGTATTTTCCTTTGATAAGTGTTGTGATTTCTGGTAATGACAATGAATAGGCATGTTGTTTCTCCTTTGTTCCATTTTTTGCAAGTCTGTCTGCTAACTCATTTCCTGGTATGCCGCAGTGAGCCGGGATCGTTTGGAGAACAATTTGATTGTTTTCTGTGAGTCTGTTTAGCTGACAGGTCAGTTCTTTTTCCATGTTGTCTCGTGGATCCCTATGAGTCGCCTGGAGGACTGACATGCAGTCATAAAGGAAAACAATTTTGCTGTTGGTAACTGTCTGACAACAAGGACCCACAGAGAACTGTAGGTGACCTGGTAACCATCTGACAACAATGACCCACAGAGGACTGTAGGTGACCTGGTAACCATCTGACAACAATGACCCACAGAGGACTGTAGGTGACCTGGTAACCATCTGACAACAATGACCCACAGAGGACTGTAGGTGACCTGGTAACCATCTGACAACAATGACCCACAGAGGACTGTAGGTTACCTGGTAACCTTTTGACAACAGTGACTCACAGAGGTCTGTAGGTTACCTGGCAACTGTCTGACAACAATGACCCACAGAGGCTTGTAGGTTACGTGGCAACAGACTGACAACAATAACCCACAGAGAACTGTAGGCGACCTGGTAACAGTCTGACAACAATGACCCACAGAGGACTGTAGGTTACCTGGTAACAGTCTGACAACAATGACCCACAGAGAACTGTAGGTTACCTGGTAACAGTCTGACAACAATGACCCACAGAGAACTGTAGGTTACCTGGTAACAGTCTGACAACAATGACCCACAGAGGACTGTAGGTTACCTGACAACAATGACCCACAGAGGACTGTAGGTGACCTGGTAACAGTCTGACAACAATGACCCACAGAGAACTGTAGGTTACCTGGTAACAGTCTGACAACAATGACCCACAGAGAACTGTAGGTTACGTGGTAACAGTCTGACAACAATGACCCACAGAGGACTGTAGGTTACCTGACAACAATGACCCACAGAGGACTGTAGGTGACCTGGTAACCGTCTGACAACAATGACCCACAGAGGACTGTAGGTTACCTGGTAACAGTCTGACAACAGTGACCCACAGAGAACTGTAGGTTACCTGGTAACAGTCTGACAACAATGACCAACAGAGGACTGTAGGCAACCTGGCAACAGTCTGACAACAATAACCCACAGAGAACTGTAGGTGACCTGGTGACCATGGGATGCCCTTACATAACTGTGTTAACCTGCAGTTGACAAGGTTTCTAAGATGTTGGATTCTTACTCAGATAGTGGCTCTGTGAGTCATGGGGGTCATCTTTTTCAATGTATTGCTGGAGGAGAAAGTTACAATAAAATATATATATATATATAAAAAAAAAAGCACAAACAAAGCATGTGCATTTTAAAATGATATCTTCATGCATACATTACAAAAGAACCATCAATAATGTTGTTTGAAAGACGTGTTTGATTTCTTGCAGATTTCATATTTGTCAAGCCTCCCTTCCCTCCAGCAGCTGTCCATATCTGAGAACCCATGTGTACTGGAGCCATCCAACAGCAGATATCCTTTTATGTCTTCTGGATCAAGGGAAGCATGCAGCAGTGTTAATTTTTAGTTCAAATCTAATTTTTTCGTGGCCCTGATTTTATTGTCTTTTTTCTTGTGTATCCATCCAATGTGGTAGTCTTTCCACCTCATAAAATTGCAAGACTGCCATCTTTCCTTATGCCGAGGGATGAACATTCTTTGCTGTGTAGAAGTCTTGGGGGAAATCATTGCAGCAAGACTGCACATCCAGTTTTGAGATATGTGCAAGTGCATCAAGGTTTCCTGTCTTTCAGTAGGTCATAGATTTGATGGCCATTTTTTTTTTTTTTTTTTTTTTTTTTTACGTATCCAGAAACCATGAGTTGTAAACCCTTTGGCTCGGTACTATGGATATCGCAACCCTTCAGCATTGATTCCATTATAGGTACCGTTAATCTGGGAGAATGTGGCTTTTCTGCCTACCCCCGGTGTGAGTATTCAGTAGGTCACAAATGTGATGGCCATTTCAACTGACTGATTATTTAGTAGGTCACAAATGTGATGGCCCTTTCAACTGACTGATTATTCAGTAGGTCACAAATGTGATGGCCCTTTCAACTGACTGATTATTCAGTAGGTCACAAATGTGATGGCCATTTCAACTGACTGATTATTTAGTAGGTCACAAATGTGATGGCCATTTCAACTGACTGATTATTTAGTAGGTCACAAATGTGATGGCCATTTCAACTGACTGATTATTTAGTAGGTCACAAATGTGATGGCCCTTTCAACTGACTGATTATTCAGTAGGTCACAAATGTGATGGCCCTTTCAACTGACTGATTATTTAGTAGGTCACAAATGTGATAGCCATTTCAACTGACTGATTATTTAGTAGGTCACAAATGTGATGGCCATTTCAACTGACTGATTATTTAGTAGGTCACAAATGTGATGGTCATTTCAACTGACTGATTATTTAGTAGGTCACAAATGTGATGGCCATTTCAACCTACTGATTATTTAGTAGGTCACAAATGTGATTGCCATTTCAACTGACTGATTATTTAGTAGGTCAAAAATGTGATGGCCATTTCAACTGACTGATTATTTAGTAGGTCACAAATGTGATGACCCTTTCAACTGACTGATTATTTAGTAGGTCACAAATGTGATGGCCATTTCAACTGACTGATTATTCAGTAGGTCACAAATGTGATGGCCCTTTCAACTGACTGATTATTTAGTAGGTCACAAATGTGATGGCCATTTCAACTGACTGATTTTTTAGTAGGTCACAAATGTGATGGCCATTTCAACTGACTGATTATTTAGTAGGTCACAAATGTGATGGCCATTTCAACTGACTGATTATTCAGTAGGTCACAAATGTGATGGCCATTTCAACTGACTGATTATTTAGTAGGTCACAAATGTGATGGCCATTTCAACTGACTGATTATTTAGTAGGTCACAAATGTGATGGCCATTTCAACTGACTGATTATTTAGTAGGTCACAAATGTGATGGCCCTTTCAACTGACTGATTATTCAGTAGGTCACAAATGTGATGGCCCTTTCAACTGACTGATTATTCAGTAGGTCACAAATGTGATGGCCCTTTCAACTGACTGATTATTTAGTAGGTCACAAATGTGATGGCCATTTCAACTGACTGATTATTTAGTAGGTCACAAATGTGATGGCCATTTCAACTGACTGATTATTTAGTAGGTCACAAATGTGATGGCCATTTCAACTGACTGATTATTCAGTAGGTAACAAATGTGATGGCCATTTCAACTGACTGATAATTTAGTAGGTCACAAATGTGATGGCCCTTTCAACTGACTGATTATTTAGTAGGTCACAAATGTGATGGTCATTTCAACTGACTGATTATTTAGTAGGTCACAAATGTGATGGCCATTTCAATTGACTGATTATTTAGTATGTCACAAATGCGATGGCCATTTCAACTGACTGATTATTCAGTAGGTCACAAATATGATGGCCCTTTCAACTGACTGATTATTCAGTAGGTCACAAATATGATGGCCCTTTCAACCGACTGATTATTTAGTAGGTCACAAATGTGATGGCCATTTCAACTGACTGATTATTTAGTAGGTCACAAATGTGATTGCCATTTCAACTGACTGATTATTTAGTAGGTCACAAATGTGATGGCCCTTTCAACTGACTGATTATTTAGTAGGTCACAAATGTGATGGTCCTTTCAACTGACTGATTATTTGGTAGGTCACAAATGTGATGGCCCTTTCAACTGACTGATTATTTAGTAGGTCACAAATGTGATGGTCCTTTCAACTGACTGATTATTTGGTAGGTCACAAATGTGATGGCCCTTTCAACTGACTGATTATTTAGTAGGTCACAAATTTGATGGTCCTTTCAACTGACTGATTATTTAGTAGGTCACAAATGTGATGGCCATTTCAACTGACTGATTTTTTAGTAGGTCACAAATGTGATGGCCATTTCAACTGACTGATTATTTAGTAGGTCACAAATGTGATGGCCATTTCAACTGACTGATTATTCAGTAGGTCACAAATGTGATGGCCATTTCAACTGACTGATTATTTAGTAGGTCACAAATGTGATGGCCATTTCAACTGACTGATTATTTAGTAGGTCACAAATGTGATGGCCATTTCAACTGACTGATTATTTAGTAGGTCACAAATGTGATGGCCATTTCAACTGACTGATTATTTAGTAGGTCACAAATGTGATGGCCCTTTCAACTGACTGATTATTCAGTAGGTCACAATGTGATGGCCCTTTCAACTGACTGATTATTCAGTAGGTCACAAATGTGATGGCCCTTTCAACTGACTGATTATTTAGTAGGTCACAAATGTGATGGCCATTTCAACTGACTGATTATTTAGTAGGTCACAAATGTGATGGCCATTTCAACTGACTGATTATTTAGTAGGTCACAAATGTGATGGCCATTTCAACTGACTGATAATTTAGTAGGTCACAAATGTGATGGCCCTTTCAACTGACTGATTATTTAGTAGGTCACAAATGTGATGGTCATTTCAACTGACTGATTATTTAGTAGGTCACAAATGTGATGGCCATTTCAATTGACTGATTATTTAGTATGTCACAAATGCGATGGCCATTTCAACTGACTGATTATTCAGTAGGTCACAAATATGATGGCCCTTTCAACTGACTGATTATTCAGTAGGTCACAAATATGATGGCCCTTTCAACCGACTGATTATTTAGTAGGTCACAAATGTGATGGCCATTTCAACTGACTGATTATTTAGTAGGTCACAAATGTGATTGCCATTTCAACTGACTGATTATTTAGTAGGTCACAAATGTGATGGCCCTTTCAACTGACTGATTATTTAGTAGGTCACAAATGTGATGGTCCTTTCAACTGACTGATTATTTGGTAGGTCACAAATGTGATGGCCCTTTCAACTGACTGATTATTTAGTAGGTCACAAATGTGATGGCCCTTTCAACTGACTGATTATTTAGTAGGTCACAAATGTGATGGCCCTTTCAACTGACTGATTATTTAGTAGGTCACAAATTTGATGGTCCTTTCAACTGACTGATTATTTAGTAGGTCACAAATGTGATGGCCCTTTCAACTGACTGATTATTTAGTAGGTCACAAATATGATGGCCCTTTCAACTGACTGATTATTCAGTAGGTCACAAATATGATGGCCCTTTCAACCGACTGATTATTTAGTAGGTCACAAATGTGATGGCCATTTCAACTGACTGATTATTTAGTAGGTCACAAATGTGATTGCCATTTCAACTGACTGATTATTTAGTAGGTCACAAATGTGATGGCCCTTTCAACTGACTGATTATTTAGTAGGTCACAAATGTGATGGTCCTTTCAACTGACTGATTATTTGGTAGGTCACAAATGTGATGGCCCTTTCAACTGACTGATTATTTAGTAGGTCACAAATGTGATGGCCCTTTCAACTGACTGATTATTTAGTAGGTCACAAATGTGATGGCCCTTTCAACTGACTGATTATTTAGTAGGTCACAAATTTGATGGTCCTTTCAACTGACTGATTATTTAGTAGGTCACAAATGTGATGGCCCTTTCAACTGACTGATTATTTGGTAGGATGTTAGCACTGACTCATTTAGTCAGCACACCTTTGGTGAACATTGACCCCTGACTGACCCAGAATTTTAAAGTGGGCTAATAAGTGGCAGACGTTTTTTCATTGGGTTACTGTGTCACTGGGAAGTAACTTGGAAATTCTCCCTCAGTTTGGTGAAAGCCTGTGATTTATTGTATGATGATATGATGAGGATGTGTAGAATATAGTACAGAATGATTTATGTTATCAGTTGGAATAACATTTAATTTAAAATGTATTGCTGTTTCCCAGGCAAACAACTTTGGACTTTACTAAATTGTTTTAGGTCTTCGTTGTTAAATATAGTATAGTACAGTCCATTGTAATGTAATTATTGTGTTATGTCTGATGGATTCAGTTCCTTAACTGGTTGTACAGGGTTCGACTACCGACCTTTTGTGTGGAATTGGTGCTCATCAGTTCAAGTTTTGGATGCTCAAATTGTAACTGAGAAAGAAAGGTACGTTTGTCAGAGATGAAATTGAAAGATAAAAGGGAAGTAACTAACATAATGTAGATGAGGGTGTTCTATGGTCCCTTGAAATATTAAAATTTCTGAACTTTTGTAACCTCATCATCATCATCAGGTGCCTTGCCGACTGGCGTGGGCGATCATGCCTCTCTATAATCCGCGATCTCCTGCACCTATGGAAGTGAAAAAAGGAAGCAACATCAAATATAATACATTTAATCCCTCACATCTGAACCCCTGTGGATTTATGAGGAAAGAATATGAATCTTTGACCCAAGACACTAATGAATAAAAATTCTGAAACATCTTCCCATATATCTGATGCGCCTAAGGTGTGAAAAGGGATCTTGACTTACAAATATATGAAGGGACTAAATGTTATAAATGTATCACTGGAACTACATCGGCCATGCACTCAGAATGAATAGGGTAAGACTTCCT